GGCCGGGCGGGGCGGGGCTCCGCCTCCTGCCGGTCAGGTGGTTGCTGGGTGGCCATGTTGTCGCGAGTGGGCGAGAGCTTCCTAGCTGCTCTCCAGGCCTCGACCCGGTCCTTCACCCCTGTCCTCGTCACCCTCGATGATAAGCTGCCTTCCTCTTCCTTAAATGATGCTTCGGCTGCTTCATTTGCAGAAAGCAGACGGGTTGATTAGATGGCTCTCAGCTGGTCCGCCTTCCAACATCTCCTTGATGCTGTTTAAGTAAGCAGCATTGATTAATAAAGAATATATTTGTTTATTGAGCATTTATTGATACAAAGTGGAGTTAGGGTCTCCTAAATGCAAGAGATTTATGGAACTGTATCCCTACACCCACCCCCATTCCAGCCTCCTGGTTGCTTGACTACTTACCATTTGTGGAAGGAGATCAGCAATTTCTTGCCTAGAAGTGCGTCTCTCCTGTAAGTTCCCCACTCCTCTGACAGGTGGGATCTGGACCCTTGGGTTCCTAAGGGGAGGCAGCCAAACAGCTTCAACAGTAAGGGGCTGGGATGTATGAGGACTACATTCAGCTGTAAGTAACAGTAACTGCAACAACAAGAAGCCTACAGCAGAAGTTTATTTCTCTTTCCATGAAACATAAGTTGAAAGGTGGTTTCATGCTGCTAAGCCATCCTCAACATTTGGTTTCCAATCTTAAGGCCACTTCCTCATGGTCCACATGCCCAGCTATGGGAAGAAACATTCCCACTCTTTATTTGAAGATTGTCCCAAGTCTCACACATGTATACTTACATCACATTGGCCGAAACACAGTCACATGGCTCTATGTAGCTGTAAGGAAGCCTGAAAGACACTGCATGTGGGCATGCATCTGTGTGCTTGTGTGCACACTGCATGCCCGGAGAGGAGAGTGGAGGAAAGGGGTTTCCAATACTGTGCCCCCCTCTGGGGCGCTTTCTCACTTTTTCTTTTTGTTCCTAGCAACCACACATAACCTGTAGCACACTGAAAAAAAGAATATCGCGAATACTGGAAGGTGAGCAACTGCTTCTTAATGAGTGGTATTGAAAGCCAGGTCCCAGATGGGGCCAGCAGCCAGCATGGTGGTTGAGGCAGTAGACACTCCCACATGGCAGACCATGGTTCGAGTCCCAGACCTGGTGACTTACTTTCTCACTTTCCCTCTCTTTGTCTTTCTCTGGTCAAATTAAAATAAATGAATAAATTTAAATTAAAATAAAAAAAACTGAATGAGTAAATAAAATTACAAATAAATAATTCCAAAAAAAAGAACACTGATTGTTATACTTGAATTTGAAAAAAAATAAAAGAAAACCAGGTCCCAGAGCTTCAAACTTTTGAGGTAAAACAGTGGAAAAGGAGCCAACAAAACTGAGAAGCAGGGACCAGTGACACAGGAGAAAAACCAAGCAAATGTGATGTCACAGATGCCAAGATAAGGTGTCCCAGTGGGGAGTGGCCAATTGTGACAAATACTGCTGAGAAGTCAAAGATAAGAGCAGAACAGTGACTAAAGCGCCCCGTATGCTCTGGTGTTGGAGAGAGGTTGGACGCTGGTGCTGAGTAGCTTGAGAGACGTCTGTTGTTGGTCAAGTAGGCTCAGCTGTGGTAACGAATAACCCGAATATCCTAATAACCCAACACGACGATGGAGTGCATCCCCCAGTCGCAAAGCTTCCTGTGGGCCAAAGAGCTCTCCACTCTCCTGGGTAGCTCGGAGACCCGGGCTACTTCCATTCTTGGAGCTTCACCAATTCAACACGAAGCTTTCAGGATTGTCTCAGTCGAAGAAAGCAGGCCAGAGGGTTGTGCACCTGCAATGACAACCTTCTGCCCGGAAAGGGTACACACGACTTCCATCCCAGACCGTCCACCAGAACTTGTCACCTGGGCCCAAGCTAACTGCAGCGGGGCTGACAAATGGAGGGGAAGCCATGGTTTACTCAGCGCCGAGCATTACCTGCCGCAGCTCCCTGCAGTCTCCTTTGGCTGTTTTCAGGGCCCATCGTCCTGACAGGCTGCGGGGCCTCTTAGACGTGTGCCTATGGTGGGAATGGAGGATGGGAGGGAGGCTTGCTTGTTCCCCAGGTCAGATCGTGCTCAAGAAGAGGGGGACCCCTGATTCCAGGCAAGTCCGGATGCCTTTTAGATGCTTCTCCCTGTGCAACTGACAGAAGCACTTGCTGAAAAATTCAGCGCGTCACATGCTGGCTCGTCTCTGCTCTGGGTCCCAAATACACTCTGCCCTGCTCAAAGATGCCACTGTCACTGATGGGACAGAAAACTGACCTCTCATAGATGCCATGGGCTCTGCAATGGCCCCATTTCTGCGGGGCTTTCTCCCCTCCTGATCCAACACCTTGAAATACGAAAGCAATTCCGCCCACCTTTCCTTCTGTGTCTCTCCTTGATGGAAGCTGAGTGGTGACTCGGGGAGAGGGCACGAGGGATAAAGGACTCTCACCCACCTCTTCACTCCTTCAGTACACAGTGGTTTTACTTTGCTCTAGGCCCGTTGGCCACCACTAGGGTCATAGAGGTGGAAAACACGGTCAAGAAAGCAGATCTTTAGGATGGAAGGGATGAGTGCATGTAGGGGAAGCTGTCACAGGCCAGTGGAGGACCGAGCAAGCTCTGCCTAAGGCGGTCAGGGACGGCTGTCCCAAGGAAGAGCATTTGAGCTGGGTCTCAAGGGACAAATTGAAGTTGCCAAGCTTGTAGGAAGGGAACAGGACTTTCCGAACTGAGGGAGCCTGGAGAAAAGGCCTAGGGGGTACAAGTGTAGGTTTAAGCAAGGACGTGTGCACCAAGGGTGCAGCAGGTGCACAGGGTGTTCACAGGGCACGAGCGAGGAGACAGAAGGGCCCCGTTTTATGGCTCATTTGGATGCAAGAATCAGAGCCCAGCATGAACATGCCTAGCCTGAAAGTAATTTCGGGCTCATGTCACCCTTGCACCCCTTTGTATTCCAGCACCTGAGCCCAAGGACCAGTTGCATCCAGGAAACCACCCACACCCTTCCCTCTGTTACTCAGCTTTGTATCTCTGAGAGAGAGAGAAGGAAAGTGAGAAACCACCCCCAGGGGGGATGGCCATGCCTTAATGATCGCCGCTCCTCCACTCTCCTCTCTGGACTTTGGGCATACTCATGTGCCTGGAGTGATTTTCAAGCCGTCAGGTCCGGGACTTGAACCACACAGTTGGCCACGTGGAATCCAGCACCTCAGCCTCCACACCACCTACTGGCCCCTTCTTTTTTTCCTTACTTTTTATTTATTTATTATTATTATTATTATTTTGGAGAGCTTTTTGCTATAGGGCGCGTGCACTCACCAGACAGACATAGAAAGACAGAGACAGAAAGCGAGAAATCACCCCCCAGGGGGGTTGGCCACACCGCAATCCCTTCTCCTCCATTCTCCTCTCGGGATCTTGGGCACGTACTCACACACGCCTGGTGTGAGTTTTAAGCCACCAGGTCCAGGACGCGAACCGCGGTTGACTACGTGGGACTCCAGTGACATAGCCATTACGCTAACTGCTGGTCCCACTGACCCCTTCTTTTATCATTGTGGGACATGCACAGTCTGCCCCTGTCACCCATTTCGCGTGTGCAGTTCAGCGACGTGAAGCACATCTGCACGGCTGAGCCACCTTGAGGACTTGATTGCCTTCCCAGACAGAAACTCCGCGCTCGTTAAACCCTAGCTTCCCTCTCCCCACTTCATTTTTCCAGACCGTTTTCTCTCCAAACTGGAACTATACTCAACAGCAACCCCCAGCGTATGCTTCCTGGCTCTTTTGCTGGAGAGACGAGTAATTCTCTTCCTGTATTCCAAATCCCCCAAATCCTACAGAAGGGCTCAGACCGACTGGGTCTGGCTACACGCTCGGTCACACCTGTGGCCCCGGGAGATGGGATGCTGTGATTGATGTCCCTACCTGGGCCATATGGCTGGACAGAAGGAGGAGCGAGTCTCTGCCTTGAAGGAGCAGTGCTTTCACAAGAAGGGGGGCCGAACACGAGCCGATGAAGCACGAAATCACATGGGGCAGGCTGGGCCCAGCCACTGGGGCCGCAGATGCCAAGCAAGATGTTCAGCCTTCGTTCTGGTAGGTGGGGAGGCAGTGGGGCACTGGGGAATGCTTTGACCAAGGAGAGCCATGCATAAAGTTGGGCTAGAAAAATCTGCTCTCTCCTTACTTAGGACTCTTCAACGAAAGAGAGCAAGAGGGAAGAGTGAGAGGGAGAGAGAAAGAGGTTTTTTGGGTTTTTTTTGGTCATAGAGTACATGTGCTCACCAGGGAGAGACACAGAGAAGGAAAGTGACAAATCACCCCCCAGGGGGGATGGCCATGCCACAGTCCCATCTTTAGTATCCTCTTGGGCTTTTGAGCATGCCAACACACACGCTTGAAGTGATTTTCAAGCTACCAGGTCTGGGACTCGAACTGCTGTCTGCCACGTAGTAGTCCAGTGACTTAATCACCAAGTCACCTCCCGCACCCCTACCTCATTTCTGTAGTTCCCCCTCTTTCTACAGTCAGACCCACCAGTTTCCCTCCTTTGTGTCCCAGGGCACAATGTGTCACATTGGTTTCTAGGATGACCACAATGTCCTGTCCAAAATTTCTTTTTTTTTTTTTAATTTTAAATTATTTATTTATCCACTAATTTATTTATTTATTTTTAATTTGACCAGAGAGAGAGACACAGAGAGAGAGAGAGGGGAAGGTGAGAAAGCAAGCCACCAGGTCCGGGACTCAAACCATGGTCGGCCATGTGGGAGTATCC